GGCAGGGAAGCAACTGAGAATATATACAGAGATACGAGATGAATACACATACCTGTCGCACAAGGCAGGGAAGCAACTGAGAGAACAAGTCTGAGTTGCTCCCTGGTGCGACAGGCGACTATATAGTAGCTGAGTAATCCATCAGCAACACAAGGGATGGTCCAATGAGAGAGAGGGAGGCTCCTCGGTGCCCGGCACGTGACCAGTGGAGCGGCCTAGGAAGGCCGCGCAATGTGCGGAGGCCCTAGGAGACCCGAAAGGATAGAAGAATGTATGGAGCTCCTAGGAAGCCCCGAAAGAATAGAAGGAGCGTCTGGGAGCTCCTAGGAGACCTGAAAGGGTAAAAAGAGCGTGTGGGGAATGCAGGGAAACAGGGAAAGATAAGTACTGGAGGCGTGCCATGACAAGAACGGCAAATCCGCATGCTGCCTCAATCTGCAACGGTGACAGACTCCTTATCCCGTCCTCATCGCGACCACCAGATTCTCGGAGGGATCTGCAGACGCACATATGAGTTTCATATATACACCGCCTAAAGTTATGGTGGTATACGTACTTGTCAGTGAAAGCCTTGATGGCTTTCCCAAGGTCTATCTCTAGAGCTCCATCCTACCAGCACGACAGCCTCAGCCAACGACCAACATTCAAGATGTGAGGTGCATACATGGTGAAGCACCCATCGGACCATGAGCGACGCAGATTCGACATTGAAGATGATGCGCTGAGCGTTCGCAGAGCTCAGCCTCTGGGTCATATTGCGAAGAAGTCCGACGACATCCGATTTCTCGGAGGATTGAATCTGCGTGCGCGTATACCTGTTGTCTGTGAGATCTCCGTGGTCGATGTCTTCGAACGGCTTGGCCATCCATGGATATTCTCTCGCGCACGTCTTGCGAGCATTTGCGATGAACGTCCGGATGTTTGGAATGTTGATAACCTAGGAGGTGGTTCGGTATGGCCTCTATACTCTATGGAGGAACATTGCACTGACAGTCGCAAAGTGCTCGCTGTGCCACAACGGAGGAAACCTGATCGACTTTGCCTTGGGCACTCTCAACCGAGGAGCCTTGAAATTACATTCTGTCTCATCCATGGATAAAGCCGCAGCTAACGAATCCCACAACCTATACACTAAGAGAACCTTGTAAACCGAGATCAAGTTTTGGTCACGAGCCCTTGATTGCGGGCTGACGTCGTAGTCGCAGAAGTTAGCTGTATTTGGGCGCTGGTGCATCCACCACACTAGCTCATTCCGACCTTCCATCTGCATATTGAGGTTGGAGTTCCATCGCGCAAGGTGGCCAGAAAACTGAAACCAAATCAGCTTATCTTCACGAGGAAATGAATCACGACGTACCATCTCGAAGGCTTCGCGGTCCAGATTCACGGAGGCGCTGAATGTACCATCCATAAGAGCCAACGATTGCCACGAGAGATGCGACAACAACGGCATCTGGTGGATGGCCTTCTTCAGCGCCTCCTCGTCGGTTTCTTGAGGGACGCGCTTCACACGATTTGCAGCAGCAATGGGCGAAATAATGTGAGGGATGACCCCGGATTCATGTTCTGACATGCACGTATGCGTAACCGCCCAGAGAAAAAGGCCGAATTAGCAGGGGTTGAAGATCGTCGTGGTTGTTGAGAACGATGATGAAGCCACGTCACCGTCATATCTGTAATCACGTGACCTCAATAAAACGTCGTACAAACGGGCACTGGCACCGAAGGGAAAACGAGGAGCAGGATGGAGCGCGTTATGGAAAGTACCAGAAACAACAAGAGAATAAGTACGCACCATGCGACTTTCCCCACTAACGACTCGAGGCTTGATATGATTCCCGGATGACACAAAAGCGAGCAAACTAGAGGCGTCCAAGGATGACAAGAGAGACAAAACAGCTGGCTGGAGGTGTTCACCGACAACACGATAGAGTCTCATACAGATACATGGCAAAGTAACCAGCGTATAGGAGACAACGAGAGAAGAGAAAGAAAGGAAACGGCGGTGTGACGGAGCGGAGAACGCGGACTGAATGCGGAGTACGTATGCACGTGGACATCGACCAAGCTCCACGTTTCGCTGACAGCGAGGGTGCAACGTAGTGTGGTTGGCACAAGTCCGCCAATTCGCCACCTGGCGATCGCCACC